GTTCACTTATGCAACCCTGATAAAGTGACAGAATATTTGCAAGGAGAATGCTGTGGCAGCTCCAGAGAGGAGCAACACAGAAGATGTGTGTGCATCTACATGATGTACTTTTACAGCCAAATTCTCTACCTGGGCAGTGATGTCCTGCCACAGTTCAGTGGCCTAGATGGTTTCCTTCTGCACTGCCAATCACTTTTTTACACCGTTGTAGCTATCCCCACAGAGCATTTGCCACCATGCATGAGTCAGTGTAGAGATGGAGTGCTGGCCATTGAGGCCAGCTGGATGGCTTTCAGGCTCTGCACCCTGACTCGATCCACCTTGTCCCTCAATAGCTTCTGCAATTCGCCATGTAGGACTCCCTGCATCATCCTTCCATTTTTGATGTATGCCTACAAAATGCTAGGAACCATCAGTGAAGAGAGTGTATCCTTCCTTTTTAATTTTCTGGTAGCTGATGATATGGGGGGGTTGGAGTTGGGCTACTGAAGAACATTGCAACAACGGACAGGTGGATTGGGCTGCCAAGATTAAAGTGTCTCAGGTGGATCTGGACTGGAATGTAAAGGTGAATTATATCTGACTCAGTGGGCCCATCAGGGTCATCAGGGAAGAGATGCAACATCCAGATAGGCTTGTGATTGAGCTATTGAGCTATTGTGATTGACACTATATCCCAGGTTATCCATAACTGTGAAACATGCACTGCAATCAATCAGGTTCAATGGGTACAGCCTCTTTGATGTGGGGGATGAGGGTTGAAATGTAAATGGAGGAGGCCTTGCAGATTGATTACATCACACTCCCACAGATCTGCCTAGGCAAGCGCTATGTGCTGACAATGGTGGAGACAACTACTGGATGCCTGGAGACACACCCTGTGCCTCACACCACTGCCCAGAACACCATCCTTGAAAAGCAGCTCATGTGGTGACATAGCACCCCAAAAAGAACAGAGGTAGACAATGGGACTCATATCAAAAATATCCTCATAGACACCTGGGCCAGCATGATACTGAGTGGGTGCATTGTATTCCATATCTGCACCAGTCTCTGGGAAAATGGAACACAGTGGACTGTTAAAAAACCACATTGAAAGCAATAGGTGGTGAGACCTTTCCCTATCAACTCTGGGACCTGCATTTTGCGCAGGCTCCCTGGTTAACATTAGAGGATCTACTTTGCTTGCCCTGCCCAATCAAAACCTCAGTGAACTGCAGGATATAAAGTCCCTGTGGAGCATACAACAAATGTGTTAGGGGAGACATTTTGGATTAATCCTGCCTCAAGCAAAGGCAAGCCCTGGGTGCACTTGGGACAGGGAAACACAATGTGTGTCTCCAGGGAATTTGATTTTTGGGTTAGAACAGTTTGTAACGTTGAACTGTATAAAAGTAGTTGCTGAATGACACTGCCACTGTATGCCAGAACTCCTGTGGATAATAAGCATGAACACCTCCAATTGTGAGCTGCTGGTGCAGCTTGCACCACCTGACAGCACACCAGCCATCCTGCCCTAGAAAATATCTAGGATGGACTGAACCCACAGTCATTGACTAAAGGAAGTCAACAGACACCTTGGAGGGATGGTCATTGACTATGTAAATGATACTCATGCTTATGTATATATGAAGATATATGTATTTAGTTGGAAGATGTAGGATCTGGACATGATGGAGATGGTATAGAACAAGTGGCAGGAAATGTCCTGGCCAGGACAGGGTTGATTTTTGCTGTAGCAAGAAGGTACCATGGCCAGGATACACGGGTTATTATATGTAACCTTGTGTCATTTTCCAGGGTTGAGGAAGGACTCCTTTCCAGACAGCGTAGCATGGCAGAAGGAACAGTTGGTATTGTTAGGGATGGGGTGTGTTTGTGTCCATGTGAATTGTTTGCTTCTTTGTTGTACCTTCTGTCATTAGTATTGATGTTGCTGCTGTTCATTTTCTTATCTTATTGTTGTTTTCAGTAAATAGTTGATATCTCAAGCCGTGCCTTTAATGTCTCCAGTTCTCCTCTCCAATGTGCTGAGGGGAGGGGGAGTGATCAAGCTGCACATGGTTTGGAGTGGTTTCAGTTGGAACACTGAATTTGAAAATACCATTCTTAAATCACAACAACAAAATATTTAGTTATCCAAAATATAAAAATAGGTTTATATATGAAGGCTTTATGGACAAATGATTTGAAGCCAGAAAGTTCTATAAAACAAACAAAATAGATGTCTTTGGATTTTTAAGAGGCAGAAAACATCAGGAAGTGATCCAGATTTTTCTGCTCTTAGATTTGACAAGTGACAAGTACCATAACCTGATCAGCTATGATATTTTGGGGCCATAATGCAAAACCATTTCAATTGCTTCTGAAGAAGGAGGTGGGTCAACAAAGTTGAAATGTGACATTTTCACACTCCACTTGAAAAACTTAGAATCTCTTAATGATAGTATGTTAGTTATTTGACTCAGAAATTAACGATTTAAATCTAAAATTGAATCCTAACTACACACACACTAAATTAGAAGTGAGGTGAGATGGAGGGATCTGGAGGTATCATGACATATGCACTGCCATGACTAATCTCATGCATCAGTTCTGACTTTTGAAGGTGAAAAATTCACCAAGGAGAAGCCTGAAAGGGTGCTGCATGATAAGACTACTCTCATTTGTTCTGGTTTTATCACACCTCATTGTCTGGATCAACACTGCCCTGAGTGCTGTGTCTGTGAATGACCACAGGGAAAAATGTGATTTGTTCATGTCGGTTAATTTTGATGGTCTTCTGAGATACTTCAGCATATCCCACCTGACCTTCAAAGAAGAGGGCAATCATTTTTGTACAGCTTGTGCCCTTCACCACTCTTATAAATTTCAGTCCAAATCTGGCCAAGTTGTCCGTCATGCTCAGCAACCTTGCTAGAATCAAGTCGATTAAGTCTCTCATTAATTTTGTGAAATGAAGAAGGGAAGCAAGAAGCAGATGTAGAAAGACTGCAAAAGCATCTGCAAAGCAAGGCAAAAAGGTGAGAAAGAGATGGTCTAAAGACCTGGGAGACCAGAACTGGGTAGAAGAGAAAGAACTAAGAGGCATGAGAAAGAACACAGCAAAAAAAAATTAAGTTTATGGCAAAACAGCAGTCAAGTCCTTGTCCAGTGAAGAATGTTCTGAAGAACCTAGCTGGAACCATGTGTGCTAGGTAAGCCTATTTCTCTCTGCCAAATAACAGTGAAACCCACTGGCAAAATTCCCAGTCTTTCCACCAGTGGAGACTGAGGCAGAGCTAAGAGAGCTTACCATTCCTACAAACTACTGTCCTATCTCAGTCTGCAGGAGGTGGTGGTTCTAGAGGTTGCAGTTTGCTTACGTATCCTGGGATTGTTAATCAGTGTTATAGAAATTCTGTTTTGCCCTATACTTTAAAACAAAAATGGAAGTAATTACACAAGGCAAATGTCACAGGAAAATAAAATTAAAAAATCTTTTAAAACTAGTGAATCTCAGAATTAAAATTTAATTTTATCCCCTTGTGTGTATGCATGGAATGCTTTTTAATTTAACAATCATACTATTTTTTTCAGTAGACTCATTTAATTAAATGTAGATAGTTGATCTGTTTGGGTTTCTAGTAGTCTACACTGAATTTACCATCTCAAAGTGCTGAGTGTACCTTCTCCCAAGTGATTGACTCTAGGACAATAGTTCAGAAATGCGTAAGGTTTCACCTTCAGCCATTCCAATACGAATTCTTTGGGAAATGTCACTAAGTTTTGAGGTTTTGCTCTGATTTGGAATAAAAAAAGAGTCCTAAGTTTGGACTGGAGAAAGGATAATGAGAAATTCTTCCAGCCCTGCCAGACACAGAGCCCTCACTTCTGTATTTCAGCTTCACTTCCAATCACAAACCACCACCACCACCAAGTGTGACTCAGATCCTTCTACAGTGACAAAAGCACCGTCATTCTCATCTGTGAAGGGGTAGTACAGGGCCAAAAAGATTATTAGTTTCAACGTTTCACACCAAGGAAGCAGCAGAAGAAAATACAAGCTGTTGCTCGATTTGCCTACTTTGGGAGGGGGCAGCAGAACTGTTCTGAATGCAGGCTTGAAAATACAGGAATGATTGTTGGGACCAAAAAGCCTGATGCTTTTGTCACAAGGAATATACTATGATGAATGTAGAGGGGCCTCTTCTTTAGAAATTTACTGTAATAAGGTACCAGTCTTAGTAAGAAAGGGAACAAAAGAAGACAGAAAAAACGAACCCAAGATGTGAGTACATTTTAAAGATCAGAAACTTAGCATCATGAGGTCAATATGCCCTTCAATATAATTGAGCTTATCATTGACAGTTCCCTCAACCTATTCTGTTGTCACAGAGACCTGGTTCACTCAATATCTGCATAGAACGAGTTACTCTATTTAGCAGAGTATTTGCAGGTACTCAATGTAACAGAAACAGCAAAAGGTAAAAAACATAGAGGCAACTGAATTGCATTCTGTGATTAAGTAAGGTAAATCTCAATTTCTTTAAATGTACACATTCACTACACTAGTCAGGTTCCTACACATGGGAAGGTGGACTTGTCAGATATTTTGACAGAGCAAACTAGGCTTCTAGATAAAACAGCAGCAGCCACAATCACATGTACTGAAGAGCAGTCACAATAAAAAAGGAAACAGCTTTTGCTGATGTCTGAGCATTTGATAAAATAAGTCCATCTGAGAAAACACAGTTTGTTACTGAATGGCATGTTCTCTATTTGCTCTGATTTTCATAGCTCAAATGAAAAAAAACCTGGCCAATGGGATCACAACAGCAACAAGATGGTAACACCTGGTGATGGGCTGTAGCAGCCTCATAGTTTCTAAGATATTTCTTAGATGAAAAAATGTATAGAGTATTTTATAAAATTAAACATATTCAGAAATTGTAATCATGGAGATCATGATCCAATAAAAGAATTAAGTCTATAATATCTAAAATGTGGAATTTTTTTTGTCTTCAGGGCAATCATTTTTTATTACAAGAAGCCACACACATAAATGAAATATTTTGTATTTAGAATATGTGTATTGTTAGAAGCTGGTTAGAAATTTTCAGATGACATGGACACATCTGGCTGGGAGCTTGCAAGGTTTTGTCTGAATCATCTTGAGGGTGATGAATGCATGTGGATTCCCAGGCAGAATTCCAGCACCACTCCTGTGTGTAATCCTGGCACAGTTCAGTGCTCTGTATGTCTTTTAAAAAATTCACCTGTTGCAGGGGCCCTGGAAATTTAGGGGTATCTATTTTTTCAATAGCACTGCTGGTGGACTCTTCCTTGGGATGACAGTCCATCAGAAACTTGGGGCATCTGCAGTAATGTAGCTCACAGGTCTGCTAGAACTGGATACCAGTGGTTTCCAGGCTAACCCCAAGCCCTGGAGCAACATTTCTGGCAGCTGACTGCAGTGTTATTTTATACCTGCCTCAGGCTTTAGAATTTGTGCCCTCTAGAGTCAGCTTGGAGGCAGATGGTTGGGTGCTACTCCAGGCACTTTGTCCTGGAGCCAAGTATCAGATTTCCAGGAGCCCTAGAAGGAACAGGGATGAGGCAGCAAACAGGACTGCCAGAGCAACCCCAGCCTCCCTTGGCTGCAATGCAAGCTCAGAGTCAGACAGGTGTGGGGCCAGGTTGACTGACTGATGCTGGGTCACACTGTGCTGCATGTCTGTCCTAGGAAGCTGCTGGCTGCTCCTGACACTGATGTCTTGGTCGCTTCCACTGCACAATGTAAGGTCCAGAAGAACGTGGCTCCCAGGACAGGACATCGTATTTCGTGGTATGCAGACACACACATGCATGTGTGCAGATGTGAAACACATCACAAGCTCCCATTAATGAGATTCCTACAGAAAATTATTAACTTTGATAGAAAGGTTGAGTTAAAATCAAGTTTCTAAAAAATCATAACCTCATTTCAGATCATGCTAGAAAGCATCAAGTTTAAAAGAATACAGGATTGCCACTGTAGAGAAGTATACTCTGATGCACCAAACTAGCAGAGAAAAGCCTTGCTTCACCCTGCAAGAATGAATTAGAGAAGAGGGCAGAACGACTTGGCTTAGAATGAGACTTCTGTAAAGGAATATGCAGAACTTCAACAAGTGCACTAGAATATATACTAGCCATACAAAAGTGTCTGGTGTTGAACATTCACTAGGAATATTCACTAGGAATACTGACAGGAAATGTGGCAAGGGCTGGTATCCCTGGTTATTGTTTTTAATGTTTGTTTGTTTTTAATGTTTCTAGTCAACCAATTTTTCCTATTCAAATGTTTTCATACTTTCAACTACATTACTAATTTTTATACTGCTTTAATTATATGACTTACTTTAAATTTTGTTTACCTTTTGTCTCAACTATTTCCACTAGCATAATTATTATTTTATATATATAATTATTATACTTTGAAACTGCACCTCATTTCTAGTTATTGTTTGTATTTTAAAGCAAAGGAACCTCAACATTTAACATCTCTCATTCTTTCTGTAGTCCTACCATAATTCTTGTATAATTCAGAATTAATTTCTGTATATATTTTGGAATTGAGAAACAAATTTTCAGATAACAACTTGCCAAACTATTCTTACAAAATTTATTTCATTTAGATTTACAATTTTTCCATGGAAGCACTTTGATTATCATTAAATAACGTTTTTCTGAACAGGGGATTTCGAGATTACACATTCTTCTTCTCCATCTCTCCTAGGTTATCACTGCAGAATGTCTTACAACATCAATGAAAGACAGTACAGGGTACAAAACACACCACTGCCATCCAGTACTACTTGTTCATGCTGAGAAACAAAGGTCAACACAATAAAGTGTTACTCATTCAACAACTGTCTCTATCATTAGTTACCTTAATCCCAGAACCAGTGTTAGTGCTTCATGCAGACCTGAGGTTAGTAAAAGACTAAAACTTTTAGAGGATGTAGTGGTCATTTCTCGATCAGTGTGAAATTCTTTTTAGTGTGAACAAGGGCAACAAGGAAAGTTTGCATACAATTTGGTTACAAGCTTAGTGGTCTAGTAAAAGTAAGAGGAACAAAGGGTTTTTTTGGACACTTTGTCTTACCTTCAGATAAACAGAACTGATATTTAATGATCTAAAAAGAGGGGAAATAAAATAATGAAATAATCATAAGGAGTTCAAGAAATGTCAGAACAGGAAGGCCTTGAGTTACTCATTTTCTTTTACTGATTTTCTTATTAGTAACAAAAAATGCAGTATCCTCTTATAAAACAGGTATTTTACTGGAAAGTAGAAATTACCTTAAAACCAACTTTGTGACTAATAGCCTGGGAACAAAATTAAGATTGCAAAGCTCAGATTTTCAGTTTAAAACTTTACATTCTACACATCTAGTGAGCATTGAAACTTATCTTATGAGGAAGGTGCACTTAAAAATGTTTCTACCTGAACTAGCCTAGATGACAGTAACAACGTTTCCAAGCAGACTTTATACAGGGGATTGTGATAAACTTTGCTGTAAAAATACAGGGTCTGGTTGCTATATTAAAGCATCTTGCCGAATCTTAATGCCAGGCATTGGCTCATGATGCCAGAAAACAGAATAAAGATTTAAAGTCAACTTTGCCCATGTTCGCAAGCATGTATGTTCTTCCAATTAATAGCAACTCTTCATGATGTGCAAAGGTCTGAATTTTTAGTCTTTATAAGTAAGGATACTGCATTTCAAGTAAGATGTTATAAGAACTGTTTGTTACTTCTTACCTGTCTCTGAGGGCAAATGGTGATAAGGTGCTGGGCAGAAAACCTGAGCAGCAAAATCTTCAAACGTTGTAGGCTCTAGATGATGTTGAACAATTGTTTGCAGGTATCGTGCTCTCTCCTCATAACTGAGTTAGCCAAGAATTAAGGATGAATTTATATCATGTGCTCTAATTGCTAAATATCAGTGCATAGTAATTCAGAATTCTTGTTTTTGTCAAATATATATCAAGTATTTCAGTGACTGTATGCACTTATTTTTAATTCTTTATATGACTGTGATATTGTCTGATGCACTGACATAGTGTTAAGTGTAAGATAAACATGATTAATGTATACCTTATGGCTCAACTGTATTCTTTTCATGTCTGATGCAGAACTTCCTGAAATTATTTACAAACAACAACTTAAGTACTGTCTTAAGTAACTAATTTGCCTGTATTCCAGTCAAAATTAAACACATAAAAACATTTCAATTTTTAGGAGGTGTGGCATGAAACATACCTTAGCATTAACAAAACTAACGACTTTGCACTTTTCCATAATAAACAGCTTTCATAATCCCTAAACATACACACATTTAAGACAAATACAGTGAAATTTCAGTATTGGGAAAAACACCTTGTCAATGATGTCATTAAAACTAGCAAGAATATCTGTAAAGAATCTACAGGACCCTTAAATACTGGTTAACAGGGTGTTGGCAGGGCACTGACAGTAAAATACTGCACTTCTTCTTTTTTCCTGTGATCTCCCCCTCTAATATTACTGACAAGAGACTGGTATCTAGAAGTGTTGTTGTTTTTGAAGAACCCTCTCCAGGCTTCTTGTTCCAGCAGGCCCGATTGTGTTGTTAGCACAGAGAGAGCGAGAAAAAGAGAGAATATTTCTGCTGTTCATGAAAGCAACTATGGAAATGGCTGTCAAAATGTAGAGCAGCAGGCAGCAACATACAATTATCAAGAAAAACTACCATGCTGACTTCATGTTGTATAGTTGCTGAACTGAGAAATCACTTAACCTTTTCTCACACAACTTTCAGAGTCCTCCAGCTGGACTCAGTATGTTGAATGAGGGAAACCTTCTCCAGCTATCTTATATAAACAGAATGATCAGAAATTTTCCCTGACATTTACACTTGTGTCCACTTTTTTTTTTCATATTTTATTTGCACATAGTGAGATAATTTTCTCCTTACATAATTCTGTTTTCCAAAAAAATACCCCAAACAAATCAGCATGCTGTGGAGGAATGCACTCAAAACAGGTTTCTTTAAAATTCTGGGGTCTGATTTCAGGTCTGCTGCTCTTTTTGGGGGAATCAGGGACAATGAGGAAACTATCTTTCTGAACTCAATTTCATCACCTGTGAAATGGAGATAATACTCATATTGCACATATTTTTAAGCAATTCAAATATAAAAGCTCTACTACATATTATAAGAATTTTTAATTACTAGTGATAGTATCTAAAATAAACAATGATACTATTTTCAGTTATGATAATAAAATTCCCAACATCCAATGAAAGTTGGAAACAATAATCTTCATATTATCTTACAAAACTACACTTCTACAATTACAGAACTTTTCTTACTCAATTTTTTGGCCATTTTTTCTGTACAATATTTACTGTAGGTTTTACAGACTGTCTAAATATTAAAATATATAGAGAATATATTATCTAGAAACAAGTTTCAGTGAATACAATTATTTCTATCAAATTTCCTTAGACCATAACTCGGTTACATAGTGAAACTGGAAAACAGTTTTCCCTCCAAAATCCGTGCTCTGAATTCTTTCTGAATCCAGAGACAGCTGAACCACAGCAGAAGCCTCAGTTTGGAGAAGCTATAATAGAAGCACTGGGACAAGAGAAAATATAAAAATCTCCCATTGTAACGATTCTTAGGTTGGGGGATAAACACAGTATTGAGCCTGAACAGAGGACAGTAATATAGCACAGTTTTTAAGAGGCTATGTATAAGTGGTAGAGGATGAAACTGATGGTTGAAGTCTAAATAATACTATGTATCTCACAACTTGTTGAAAAGCACTTTTTTTTCATTGGGGGAGATTCACAGCTGCTGAATTTTCTGCAGTTAATAGAGTCCTTTGATTCACAGCAGTGCCCCTTGCACAAAAAATACTGGCCTTTGTGTATTACCAGAAACTAATTTTCTATTTGGCTGAAAAGGGAAAAATGGGGTTATTGCTTCTCCCTCCTACAGAGCTTTTCATTATGCCTGATGCACTCAACTTCTAAGCTCTTCTGAGAAAAAAAAAATAACTGAAGAGGCAAGAGGTAGAAAAATGAGCTTGTTAGCACATTAGAAGTGAAGTATCTTGGTGGGCCCTAGAAATTCCCAGTGGTGTGTTAACTTATCACTCTATGCATGCTGGCACTGATAGTCTCCCAATTGATCACTCTCTTTTCGCACCAAAGGTGCTGCCAGGAAGCAAAGGCTGAAGGCCCACAGGAGAACAGGCTGCTATCAAAACAAGCTGTTTTTAAAAGTCTGCTTGAATGGGTAAAATGTTTCATGAAAAAGTACAGTAGAGACACCTACTTGCTTTTAAAATGCTCTACTTTCAGAGGTCTCTAAAGGAAACCTTTTAGTTTATCCTATTATATCCAAAGCTTATACACAAATAAGGCAAAAAGAAGGAAAGTTACTGCTTTGAAAATGACAAGGACATTCTTTTTCTCTAGTCTTGGTACAATCTCCTAACCAAATACTGAAGTCTTGACATAGATACTGACTGAGGACGATAATGATGTTTTTGTTACACAGTGAAGAGGATATGCTTATATCAGTTCTAGAAGTCTAATTCAAATGCACACTTAGTACATCCAGAGAAAAGCAATGCACCTAGCTGGGTTGCTGCTCATCCTAACAACCCCCAAAAACATTTGCAGCTTGTTAAAAACATAACTCACAACCAAAAAAATCTGAGACAAACACCAAGTCCAAAGCTTGCTCTACTCCGCACTAAGAAATTACACACTGTCCTCAGAAGGATTCTGTTTCTGTATTAAAGACTGCATAGATGAGATACTTTTATCTTCTATTAATTTATATTTTGAGAACATCCTAGTAATTTTGAAATTCCAATTCTATATGCTTTTGTGGCTGAGGTAATGTAGTTCTACACTGTATTTGAATGCAACTGTCTGCAAGAGTGACCATAAACCCATGGTAGCTAATTTTGACATTACTTCTAATAGGCTAGACATTTATTTCTTTAAAAAACTGCTCTCTAGGAAAGACTTATTAGCACTTACAGACTGAGTGGCACATACAAACTCAATGGCTACTAATAATAGGGCAATGCAAGCTGTATTCTTACTTTGAGTAGATGTTGCCACTGGCATCAGCAATTAAGATGGAATGGGAAGGATGCACAGACAAACCAATGGAGAAAGACTGGCACAGAGTGACAAAACATTTAAACAACAGTATTGTGAGCTTTTAGCTTCTGAAGAAGGTGCTAACTGGAACAAAACGGAATGAAAAAAAATATGATATACATTAATCATGCAGGCACTCATCCAAATGTGTCAGCCAAAATCTTGCAGATACATAACTGCAAAAAGCATAACAAAAAAAAATCACTTCATTATACTTTTTCAGAAGAACCTGTTCTGAAAAATAGAACCAGTACCAGAAAAAATCAGGAATCATATCTTTATAGGTCACTCAGGATGTAGTCACTTCAGCAAATATTTAATTTACATTATGATCCCTTTCTCTAAATCTGTAACTATTTATATTAATAATTATCTGAAAAGATCTATTATTTGAAAATACTGTACTTCCCATTATTAGACCTGTTGATTTGCACTTGGGAACAAGCACCGAAAGCCTGGCTATCAGATTACCTACTTACACCCAATCTTTCTGAAAAACATAATTTCATGTCTTCACCTAATAGCTCTCCATCTCTGCTGATTACATCACTTCCAAGCTTTAGATTCCTATAGCAAAATACATCTACATCTTGCAGAGTCCTTACGCATAATCTAAGCTAAAACTTTTTCTAGCTATCTATCTGAACAAATTACCTAGGCTCTTACCTCACATCTCAGTTACTGCCATATCCTTTTCTCTCTCCTAAATAAATGCATTTTTAATCCTTTTATAATCTACTCAGAGCACTGCAGAATCCACTTTCTGGATATACTACTTAGATGGTACATTCTCTCAGATACTGCCATCAGTCTGCCACTCCCTAGTGCAAATGCAGACTACTAATTTGAACTTTATAGTCCATACCTATTCCATCCATTTTATTAAAACCACTCACCTCCAGTCAGTTAATGCAGTCACTCTCACTAATCTTGACATTTTTGGAAAGGGACTTTTGTACTTTCCTCTACGTGGCCTATGTGTAGCATCAGGTCTCCACAAGCAATCCCCCTCACAAACTCTCCCTTTGCTATGATTATTGATTTTTTACAATTTACTGTGTCATTCTGACTATACCTTTTCTTTCCATTCTTCTTCACACTTCTCAGTTTTACAGCTGATGAAAATGCATTACAATAAATCTATCTAGTATTTCTCAGTTAAGGACTGGATGCATGATCACTGCTACAGCCATTGACAAATACCAATCCTAAAGCGACACTAATTTGATGCTGGAAAAAATGAAGAAAAAAAAATAGTTTAAACATGGAATAAGATTTCGATGACTTATTTAAGGATATAGCCCTTCACAACTCTGTCATCTATCTATTATCAGAACAACTAAGTGTTAGATTCTCAGATGGGCTGGAGAGGAAATTCTACTGCCTGCTCCAAAAAACATTTGATAACAAATGCTTCCCGAGCATGGACTGGAATCCAGGGACTCTCCTCTCCCAAGAAATTACCCTGATGATTAGACTATATAGATGAGCATGCACGTTTCCTGTGATTAAGAAGAAATCTTATTTTATGAAACAAAGAACAATTTCAGCAGTGTTGAAGCAAGACACTTTCATGAAAGCTTTATGAATAAAATCTTCCCTCCTCATACTTGCGTATATGTATATATGTGCAGTACACATGTGTAGTATACCATGATATAACTGCATATTATCATATCAATGTATGTAGATGCTTTGGTTCCAGACCTAGGAATAA